AAAAAAAAAAAAAAAACATTTGAACATAAATTGAAAATAAAAATAGTTTAACTAGCAGCTGATAGGTGATCCATTTTTTAGAAAACAAAAACTAGAAAATTTATTTATGTTAAAGAAAAAAAAAAACAATTTCATCCTCTTTTAGAACAACTATTTGAAAAGTACACCACAGACCTTTTGTTTCTTACAAAAACCATAAAAATGACAACTGTCACTAAAAATTGATATTGGAAACTATAAGTGTTAAAAACAAAAAAAAAAAAAAAAAACCTACACATGTCTAATACGCTCAAGAAAAAATAAGGGGAACCATTTTTATTGCTGCTATTAACTGTTGCTGCTGTTGTTGTTGTTGTCGTTGCTGCTGCTGTTGCTGTTGCTATTGCTGTTGCTGTTACTGTTGTAGCTGATGGTTGATCATGTCAAATTTTTCACTAGCTTCAACGCTGTATTTAAACAGGCGAACAGCAAAACGAAATTGTTGTAGCCATCATAAACAATACACGAGAATGTGAACGCAATAATTGAGCACAGAATTGGTAACGATCCAACATCAACATATCTTCTTGTTTCAAGAGCCGTCAAACCGATAACAGCATTAAATCGGCGATACAGACAGTTCATAACAAAAAAAAAAAATCTTTAGCTTGACTTTGCATGACAAAAATTTATAAATTTTGCATCAAACGATCTGTTATAGCTATGAATAATATTTTGATTTTGTTTATTTGTTGGTTTTTTTTTTTTTTGAAACATTCGAATGATAAGTGATAGACTTATGGAAATTCTATTGCACTGGTGTTTAATTGAAAACAGCAAAATAAGTTGCTGAAAATTTTTTCAGGTGATCTTATTGATGAACAGAACTGTGATGGAAGAAAAGCAAAACAAGACAAGAATGAATCAGTGTTTGAGAATGATGGAAAACAACGTTGGCTAGTGTATGACATGTGATTTCTTTTGGGGGAGAGGGGGGCGAGAGGGGAGAGGGGAAGGAACCAACCGATGAAACTGTGACAAGATGAGATGGTCGAGGGAGAAGGACGGGGAGCGGGGCAAAAGGATGGAAGGCAAGTAAGAAAATGTCATTTGAAGTTGATACACTTATTGAGTGCAACCGAAATGGTATTAGGAAAGCAAAAGTACTCAACTGTTTTTACCGGTACTTTGGTTTTTGATACCCGACCAAGATGAGTATTATTTCGAGGCGAAATATCATCTCAAAACTAGCTTCATTTGCCCGTATTATTTGGGATGCTTTACGTGTTCGTTCAGCTCAGCTGTTACAAAAGAAAGTTATAAAAAAATGATAGTTATAAAGAAAAAGTTAGTTCAGCAGTTACGTAAAAAACGTAATATAAACACTTTTTCCTGCTAACTAAACGAATAATACTTTTTTAAAACTGATATCTCTTTACAAGCTACTGAAAAACTTTTAAGATAACAACTCCTCCTTTTTTTTTGCAACAGAAAAAGAAAATAAAGATACAGCAGGGGAGTGAAATAGGGGATAAAATCAATATTACAATATGTACAAATTTTCTAAATGTCTCTAATACAGTTGTCATAATGTGGTTATTTTTGCAAATGGCTCTAAAAATTAAATGCTTAACACAGCAATATAAATTTTTTTTTTTCTTTTTATTGAGTAATTATCAACTGTTATTATGGTTTGATGTCGAAGAAGAAAGCCATCTAAATAAAAAGTTCCATTAAATGTGTAACTGATCAAAACTGCACATTCTTATGCACTTAATTGAACAAAAAAAATGAATTCTTCTTCTTCAGGAGTATTATTACTTTCGCTTTTCTTTAAACATCGTTAATAAAGAAATATACACAGAAAGACAACAGCAATGACAACACCAAAAAACATTCCACAGACTCTACTCACATTACTGTTTCTCTTTTTGTTGCCCTTGTCAATACTTTTTATCTTCTTAAACTTCAAAAGCTGCTTCCTTTATTTTACTCTATACTATTTTGTCAGAAAAGGGGTATGTCAAGGTATGCCAAAAATGGGGTTCACCCAACAATTAAAAAAAGTTCAGTGAAACAAATACGGGGATTTGCAGCATACTTCGGAAGCGAGAGGTGCAAAGGAACAGTTGCAAAAGTGTGAAGAAAAATTTCAGCTACTGAATAATTTTTAAGGTATTAATTAATTATCGCCTCTTTTTTCCCTATTACTTTTTCTTCTCCCTTCGCTATCTTTCATTATCAAAAACAAAAAAAAAACTTGTCAAAAAGCGGGTATTCAATCGGAAATAAATTTCAACATGCTTCCAATAGCGAAGTTTGGTTAGAACAAAGTATTTACGGAGCAGAAAAAAAATGGAAAAACAAAAAAAAAAAAAGAGAAAGATGAGCACTAACAAAAGAGCTCTACGGCAGAAAAACTTCTAAAAATTTTTATGTTACAGAAGCATAGACAAACTAAGGTTTTTAGATAAAATGAGGCCGTTAACAACAACAACAACAACAAAACAACTAACAACAGTATATCATAGACAGATACATATACCTGAACTTTGTTTTTGCACTTCCAAATTAAACATTGCTGGCAGTATACAAATATAATACATTAGAACAACAGGAGGGAAAAAAAAAA